TACAGATGTAGTCCCTCGTTTAGGAATAAGGTGCTCAATGTGTTTTGACTGGTCCTTGTGTTTGGAGCTACCTGGTTTTGGCTCATCTTCACTGGCCATCCTGGCATTCTCTTTGTCTGGATCCTCTATTCCTTTGACTGTAAGTGCCATTTATAAGTAGTTCATGTTTTTATTTGAGCCAATTTGTTTAATGTATTTTCTGAAATTTGATGTTTGACAATAATGTATATCATCTGAGTTTATTTTTGAGTCTCGACAGAATATTGAGCTTTATTGTGAAAGTTTTATGTGGAATATAAACAAGCGGACGGCGGAGCCACACAATGGTTTTACCGTCGTTGTTGCTAACGAAAGTACGCACAAACAGTCGGTTGTCGGTCCGGTGTGTGATCATATTAATCATAAGAGAAAGAGAGAACTCTAAGGAATTAATATAGCCACTACAGTAACCATCAAAACCATGAAAAAATATTGGCGTACAGTTTATTTTGCGACCCTACGAAACAAACGATAGGTACAAAAAACAACGACGTATCGTCAGTTTCAGGCCAATCTCTGTAAACCCTAGATATGGTTGCGTGGGAAAATCCCAGCAGACAGGCCCGTCTGGCACCAAAGACCTTTCTTTCTCACTCGGATTCTCACTTTGAGCTACTGTAGGTTGTCTTGGCCATCTGAAGACATCAAGTTGCTGCTATTGGCTCATTTGTTGTTTGCATTAACGAGAAGATGAAAGAGTACCTAATATAGTGGCCGCTGAGTGTTTCAAAGCACTTCAATAAATGTTACAGGGGCTAAAACACCGACCTGCCTCCTGCTTTATCTCAGGCTGCAGGAGCTCCAGCAGTCTCCTCTGCCGGTCGAGCTCCTGCCTGAAGCCCGCAGCCTCCTCCTCATAGTCGGCTACAGTCCGCTCCACCACCGATAAGATCTCCCGAGCGGCTGTGCTCAGTTTGTCGGTGATGATTCCTCTCAGTATGTCGCTCTTGGACATATTAGCGATGTCTGGCTCGCTGTCCCAGCTCTGCACCATCGTCATCATCATCGAGTCGCTCATGAAATAATTTCTTTTTTCCCGCGTGGGAAAATGTTTCTGTCGGATGTTTAACCCTAGAAGTTTTTTACCGAGCTAGTGAACGCGCAAATGTTGTCCGGCTGGAAACATAAAAGGAAACACCATCCTAGGAGAAAATGACACATAGCACAGACATAGCACAGTAATAGACTATCACACGTATAATTATATCAGTATTTATTAAAAAAGAAGAACCCCCGCGCCGCCGCCGCCCAAAAAACCCATTTAGGTTTATTTGGCACTAACTGCGTTTCCATCACAATGACAGCAGGTTTTAATACATATAACAGGGAGAAATCATGATACATGTAGATTGTGCTCCGAGGGTTACTTAAAAAAGTGTCGCCCCTGTGTTTTCCTGTAGCCTAATTGTAACTTTATTGTAATCATATTGCTCCACTTTCTGTAGAGTATGCAGGAATATTATTTATAAAAATATTTTTTTTTAAATTAAAAAAAATTTGTATGGTCTTTTTCTCGTTTGTGGTTCATGTTTCCAGCCGGGCAGCATTTGCTGTTGTACGTCGCCTGTGGTGTAACATCCGTACCGCACGTTCCCCCACGCGCGTTAATTGTTTCATCTCCGGTAAAGAAGTGAGCGGGACCCACGGAGCCCCACCATGGAGCCGGACTCATCCGACCCCAATACGTCCAAAACCGACATGCTGAGAGGAGTCATCGCCGAGAAGCTCACCTTGGCCGCCCGGGAGATCTTAGCGGTGGTGGAGAAGACTGTAGCCGACTACGAGGAGGAGGCTGTGGGTTTCAGGCAGGAGATTGACCGGCAGAGGAGACTGCTGGAGCTCCTGCAGCCTGAAGTCAAGTTAGAGGCTTTAGGTCTGTGTGTGTGGATAACAGAACAGTGTGTTGTTTCCTGCGGAGAGAGCGAGAGCTCGCGTAATGACGAACCCCGTTTACAAAACACTAATTTAACATTTCTTTGCTTGACGTGAAGCCCATTGACATTCGAGTATTCATCTCAAAACCTGATTATAACACTCCTTAATTTGGTATACATGTAACACCCCTGAGCCATGTCATATTTCAGAATTTTAAGTTTTTATTGGCTCGTGGTAATGTCACAAAGCTAGCCTTTGGTTTCTCTTTAAGTGAAATCCGATGGGCTTTTAAAGCCTTGAAATGTCGTTTAAAGTCAGCTACAGCTGCTATAAAACCCTCTCTAGAATGATGACAGAGTCATCGGCACTTAAAAAACCCATCCTAGTGACTGATTTAAATAAACATTTTAAATCGTTTCCCAAGTTGCGCCGCTGTTCCCGAATCAAAACAAAGATGGCGGCCTGCCGGCTACATGCACACAACGGTGTTTGTTCAAGCGCTGTGGTGCGATTTTGCAGCGCTTGCCATGACTGTTTCTATTGAAATTTATTTAAATCAACTATAAAAATACTGTGCTATAGTTAACACACAGCTGTGCTGTGAAACCAGCCGTTTTAAGCTCCCAACGTATATAATGTTTAGATATTACCCGTAACCTTTTTGGGGGGTGGGGGTGTTTCTTTTGACTTCGTCGTTCATCTTCACATTAATGTCTTTGCGAACCTTCAAATAAGCATTGACTTCTCTTGCTAATAATCACAGTCCTTTATTTTTTTGTAGACACCCATTTTTTTAGAACATATCCCTTATATATTTAAAATTTTTTTACAGCTGTCTATGGTTGGATCTGGCCTATGTCATGAAACGGGATATCCTTATATGTGCTCTCTAGCCTTCAAGTCTCTGCGAGGGGCAGCCAATAACAAACAACGTGGTTAAAAAGGACTCGTGTCACTCAAGAACCTCTAGCAACCTGCCGAGGAACAGTCATGTTTCCTTAGGAACCAGTTGTTGCTAAGTGGTTGTCAGCTGGCCTGTGTCCATGGGTTGTTCCGTGTATGTAGTTTGTGTAATAGTGTAATAAGTTTTGTCCACGCATTTGCTAAAAACAGTTCCACTTACCCTCTGACAATAAAATGTATGTAAGTTGGACCTGACCATTCTGGGGTTGAAACAACAGGTAGCTCCATGTGCTTTGATTTAGCAGATTTGACACAAATATAAAGAGACTTTTGTCTCCTCCTGGGATCATACTGGGAATCTTTGGCGTATTAGGCCGATGTAGACACCACTACACAAAGGACTTTCCCCTGGAAACACCTGCAGGCACGCAAAAGCCTGTATGGACACCAAATAGCTGCCATATGTGAGAGCTATTTGAATGTGGGAATCCTGGAGTCTGCAGTTTGTTTACATGTAAATCAGGTGAATCTAAAGCTTAACTCATCTACTGCTGTGACTCAAGAGAATGAAACAGGTTGCTCGTTAATCAGCAGTGTCATCTGCGCTCATAAGAATAAGAATAATTCTGACGTGAAATCTTTTTTTTGATTGTTTTGTTTTATTACTTAATAACACTAAAATGCTTATATGGTGCAGATGACCAGCAGCAGTTTTCCCTTTGTGAGGCTGGAGGAGGTCGACTACCAGAAGATCAGGAGCAGCACAAATATGAGCAGAGTATGACTTTTAACCTACTTTGATATATGTAAACAAAGTCGTCATATTTATATTTGTAATGGATCAAGATGCACAGAAACATAAGAGATGTTACTATCTGTCTGTCTGTCTGTCTGTCTGTCTGTCTGTCTGGTTCAAATTAGATGTGGTGTACTGCAGGGATCCTCTCTGGGCCCACTGTTGTTTCTGTTTATGTCATTTGGTACTTTTTATTTGACTTTGTCAAATGCTTTGCTGTAATGAACAGTTTGTTGGGCATCATAACCTCCCAGTATTTTTCTCTTAGTAATAAGTTGAGTTAACTAAGCTGAATTTGAAGCTGAATTTCAGAAACAACAAAACTTCCCAAATTTGAGACATAAAAGACTGATAGAGTCAAACATTTGGAGTTTTTTTAGTGTTCAGGTGAAAAATATTTGACTGCAATTTGACCCCAGTCAACGGACAGTTTCAGTTGTAATCACATGTTCACGCACTGAAGGGGAGAGTGTAATTAACCGTCCTACAGAACTGCTTTAATGTTCAGATAATGGTTGGTTCAAAGCTCTTAAAACTGCTGTTCTGTGACCCTTGTAGGTTTTTCTTTTCTTTTTTTTGAGAAGTGTTGCTGTTGTTGCTGATAAACTCAGACAAATGTGGACATTATCTTAAGTACAGCTTGAAAACGTTAAATATCAGAAAGATTGGCAGACTAAGTAGTGATAGAAGTGTTCGTTGGAGCCTCGTATAATTATTGTTTTTTTAACAGCAAACAAATTTTGAAGACGAGAATTTAAGTAATAGCGTTTCTTCCTCTTCCTGACGCGGCATGTTAACTGTTGTTTATTCGTGGTTGCACATTTGTATGATTAATGCTGTCATGTGGGAAAACTAAATAAATAAACTTTGAATTTGTTTCCAGGGGTGGAGGACAGCCAAAGCCTGGGATTCTCAGGCTACAGTGAGGAACAAATAGAGGAAGATGAACATGAAGATGAGGAGGAGGAGGAGGAGATGGCACAGCAGTGTTATGAAGCAGCACCACGGTTACAAGATACAGACACACTGTAAGTGTACAGACACCGCTCTGTGTGTGCTGTTGTAACATTTGTGACTCATCTGCTGATCTTGAGGTTATTTTGTTCTTTTCCTTTTTTAGGCTCGTGCCTTCCACGGTTCAGACTGACAGACGGAGAGCAGACAGACCTTGGATCAGTGAAACGCAGAGTTTCGTGGACCTCAGGATCCGCATCCTGGACTCGATGATCGACGTGCTTTCAAAGAGGGGTGAGTGTGAGAAAGATGTAAATAAATAAACCATTACTGTTGCATCTTTAAGGGTTTGGATTTTACTCTGGATGTTTTCCCCCATATGATTTTAAACTGAGGACATGGAGTTTTATGGGCAATGTGACTGCTGCAGATACCTCATAATGTATTTCAGCTTATTTGGAGCATTTGTAAAATACAGCTAAAGCACAGGAATGAATAAAAAGTCACTTTTTGTGTTTTTAATCAAAGCCTGTAGTCTGTGGGTGAAGCTTTTCCTGCAGTCTAGATAAAAACTTGTCTTTCCCTCTGCATCACAGTGTTTCAGAAGTACCCACTTCATGAGCTGCAGTGTCGTCGTGGCCTTCAGGAGGCCGACTTCCTGCATCTGCTTAGGTCAACCTTCCCCCAGCTGGCTGCTGATGAACCTTTTGACGTTTTTATAACTGACAACACCAGAAAGCTGCAGCCTCTGAAAATAGACTTGTGGACTCCGGAGGCGATCGAGAGGACCATCAGGGCAAATGGGAATTCTGCCCTCTACATCCGGCTGAAGGTAAGGTGCCTAATGTGTGACGCCCTCGCTGGAGTTAACTTCCTGTAAACTATGCTCTTGACTTTGCTCGTTGCTCTGATGGTGTCTTTTGGAGAATGAATCATTCAAGCATAAAAAGGCTCAAACTCAAGGGATGAACCAGTGTTGTGTCTACACAGAAGGACTTGGCGTAGAATCAGTTTTAAAATGGATCTGCAGGCAGTTTGTTTTCATTTCTTTAGTTTTATTAAATGAATCTATGAAAAATGCCAAAAGTAAAGCATTTTTGCGCCAACAAGGTGATTCCTGAAGAGCTATTATGGTAGAAAAGTGTCATATCTCAGCATGGTGTGCAGTGAGATACAACAGTGAGCATCCACAGCCATCTGTAGAACACAGTGGAGGCTCTGTCATGATGTGGGGCTGCAATCCAGCCTGTCTAGTTGGGATCTTCTCATAAGGAAAGAATCGTGAACAGTCCTGCAGTCTGACTCGTTTTTGTGCCATTTTTCTAAAAAAAAAACTGTCAAAACAAATTTATTTCAGAATCAGCAGAGTTTAGAAGCTGAAGAGGAGCTTCAGCCATTGCACGGAAATAAAGCTGCTGCTGAGCACATGAGGTACCTCAAGTATTCAAACGCTGCTGTAAATAACCAGTAAATATAGAGGACAAAAACAAACAGATACATCGTATATATAAGGCTAAATTATTTGTTATAATGTTGTTTTTGACTTCTTTACTCTTTCAGGAAGAGGGTGGGCAGACCTGGGTTCAGGAAAACACAGACGCATGTAATGATCAGAATCCGCATCCTGGGTAAAATGAAGTCTGACGTGCTCTCAGCCAGAGGTGCGCCCAATAAAACCTCCAGTTTGGTGTCTCTTTGGACAAACTGTGTCTCTTTGTGACTGTGAAGTTAAATAATAATAGCCTGTCCATGTGTGTTCATTGTTTTTCAGTGTATCAGATGTGCCCGCTTCATGAGCTAATGTGCCCTCGGGGTCTACAGGAGGCTGACTTCATGGACCTGCTGAGGTCCACCTTCCCTCAGCTGACTGCCGATGAACCTTTTGACCTCTTTGTGAGTGACAAAAGCAGAAAACTGAAGCCTCTGAAAGTACGGTCACTGACGACGGAGGAGGTGGAGAGGGCTACGAGGACTTCTACGCTCTACATCCGACTGAAGGTGCTGATTCACAAAGACCTTTGTCTGCTACTAAAAAAATCTTAGCAGACAAAGAAATAATCTGGTTTATTGTCTGTCTTTGTGTTTTCTGAGAATCCTGAGCATTTAAATAGGTTGTAAAACTCCACGTGTGACCAGTCAGGAGTGCCATTTGTACAGTGGCCCTGAGAGGCCAAACGGACTGCAACTTAAGAAAACACCAGCAATAAGAAAAACGCTGCAAAAGCACACAAAACACACAGAAATAGAAAAAACTAAAACAGAAATAGGAAAAATCACATTTCCAAAAGCACAAGGGAAGTGTTTCTGGGGAGACAATAACCTGACGGACCAGTTGCAGGAACCAAAATATGCTAAGAACTGCACTGGGAGACACTTAAAAGAAGTGGAGGATCTATCGGTTTGTGAGGAAAGAAAAGATCAGAGTTAAGTGTGTTAGCCTAACTATTAGCCTAAAAATCCATCATCAGTATTAAATGAATCATGATAAAACACACCTAGCATGTTTTGGGTTCCTGCAACTGGTCCGTCGGGTTATTGTCTCCCCAGAAACACTTCCCCTGTGCTTTTGGAAATCTGTTTCTTCCTATTTGTGTTTTGTGTGCTTTTGCAACGTTTTTCTTATTGCTGGTGTTTTCTTAACTTGAAGTCTGTTTGTCCTCTCAGGGGCACCGTACATTTGCATTTAACTACACAGACCAACAGTACACCACTAAATCTTTTCTTTCTTCTGTAGCCGTTGGAGGAGCTTCAAGCCTCAGCGAAACAGTTCCTGAGTGTAGGAGATGTTTTAGCTGAAACTCTTCCATTGACCCTAACAACAACCAGAAAGAAACCTGGGTAAGTCAAAACCTGACTATAATAAATATTGGCTAGTCAGCCATAGCAAACAGATCTGTAAAGGCCTAATTTTAAGGTTTTGCATATCAAGACAGGATGAAAAACAAACTCAGTCAGGCTGTGGTCTGCACTTGACTCTGGTGACTGCAAAGTGGCCAAATCATCACCCCACTGTGCCGACTCTTGGTATGAGGTGTGTGTGAACTTTAACATGCTGACTGAGGCCCTTGGAGTCTGAGATGGAGCTTTTTGGTTTCCTGTAGTTTCTCCGAGCATTGCACAGTCTGACCTTGTGGATTTTGCTGGGGCATTTACTCCTGAGAAGATCGGCAGCTGCTTTGAATGTTTCCACTGTAGAAAATGACGCAGAATGATGGATGTTAGATTCTTTGGTAACTATTTTTTCTCGCAGATACAGTTTCTTCTCTAAGATCGTTGCTGATGTTTTTCCTCCTCAGCATTCTGTTAACACACACCTGAATGCTGCGAACCATCAAACTGCCAAAACCTCTGCTTTCCTTTAAGTTAAATGCATAACGAGACAGTAGGGCTCATCTCATATCCCAATATAAGACATAGATAACGATATAAATCACAAAAATTTTACATTTTCTGTAAATTCTGTGAATCTCGGACAGCTCGACTTGCGTGAAGTGTTTCCAGCTGCGCGTCGTGTACCTGGAGTCGAGTGTTTTAACTGATGCATGAAACGATATATTTTTAGTCATAAGTTGTAACGGGCGCCGTTTTTATTACACGGCGTGCTGCAGGGAAAAGCCTGTTCTGACGTTTGAGTCTAAGGTTTATTTTTTAGCACCTGGCAGCTCTTTTTTGCTTCTCATCCGTCAATACTCTGCATCTTTCACGTGATTCAGTTTATTTTGAAAAGTCTCAACAGGATCTTGAGCTTTATTGTGATTCCTTCTCTTTTTTCATCTTTGTGTGTTGTGCCTCAGAGTACAGTCTGCTAGGGGGAAACCTACCAAATCTGAGCTCAGTGACCCATTCACACATGTGGATTTCAGGGTCCGGATCCTGGAGGACCCTCTGATGGAGGTGCTCACACCCCAAGGTAAATTTAAAGCTTTTAGCTCTGAGGTCACATCTCCAGTTCCTGTATGTGGTGATAATAATAATAATAATGGATTTATATAGCGCTTTTTTTCAAAGCGCTTTACAATGCCACTATTCATTCACTTTCACATTCATACACTGGTGGAGGCAGCTACAGTTGTAGCCACAGCTGCCCTGGGACAGACTGACAGAAGCGAGGCTGCCATATCGCGCCATCGGCCCCTCTGGCCATCACCAGTAGGCGGTAGGGTAAAGTGTCTTGCCCAAGGACACAACGACCAGGACAGAGAGCTGGGGATCGAACCGGCGGCCTTCCGGTTACAGATGTGCTTCCCAACCCCCTGAGCCACGGTCGCCCCAACGACAGCTTGTGTCTCTCTGGAAGCTTTTCTGCTGAGACTCTGAAATGTTAACAGTCTGTCTATAAAGAGGCTCTGTGAGTGCCTGCAGGCTTGTACAAAATCAACACACGGGTCTGAGTCATGTTAACGTATTAATCATATTTAAAGAAATTTCGCCTCAAATAACATTGGGTCGTTTTAAACCAAATGACTGTAACTGATATATAACTGTGAACCTTTTCGATTGTTCTTGGTAATCGCCGGCTGTGACTGTGACCAGCACAAGCTACAGCAGCAGTATATCCTCTGTAACTTGTGTTATTAGTTCAGACTCTTACCTACTTGGCTTTTGTGTTCCCAGTGTTTCTGAAAAGCCGCATTCAGGAGCTGCGGTGTCCTTATGATCTACAGGAGGCTGATTTCCTGGACCAGCTGAGGTCTTCCATCCCTCAGCTGGCTGCAGGTAAACCTTTTGACATCCTCACTGCTGACAAAAGCCGGGTACTGCAGCCGCTGAGTGTGGACACGCTGACACCGGCGGAGATCCACAGAGCCATCACCTTAAGGAGAAACACTACTCTCTTCGTCCGACTGAAGGTACCGTGTAAACTTGAGACCAAGTATCTGATCTGTCGCTCATAAAAATAAGGACAGTGTTGCTGTTTTTGGTGGAAACACTTAAGATACAAACCTTTTTTGCTTTTACCTTCTGGGGGAACAGGGAGCCGGTCCGTCCACCCCAAATCCAACCAGACTGGACACCAGGTGAGTTAATGTTAACAAGCCTCAGCTGCTCATTAAGCAATTTAATCTCTCGTTTTATCGCCTGATCTCCATCACTAACGTTATTGTGTCCCAGAGTTCAGTCTGACAAGAAGAGCCTGGGCAAGCCTCAGCTCAGTCGATCAGACTCCCACGTAGATCTGAAGGTCCGCATCCTGGAGGACTCTCAGATGGAGGTGGTCGCACCCCAAGGTAAATGCACAGCTGCTACTTGTGTGTCCAGAAACGGCTTCAGCTGCCATCCATACACAGCAAGCTTGTGGATGCTAGCAGACAGCAGAGCTATTGTCCTCTGCCCGTCCTTAAAAATGTAAATGTAAATAATTAACTTTATTCCTTGTGCTGTGGTGACACGGCATGGTGTGGTCTATGACAAGTACTGCATATTGTATATTATTCAAAATGGTTTTGTGAAATTTTCTTTCAATGTCAACTCTGACTTTGGGCAGTAACCATGAAGGTCTAATGGTTAGCCACCCTAGGTACTCATGGGTCTACTGTGGATGCTAGACTGCTAACAGACAGGCAGACGAACTGAGCCGATTACATACTCCTTCCCTGCGGGGCAGGAATTACCGTGGTCTTGACTTGTCTAGTCTTTGGAAATGAAACAGTCTTTAGAGACCAGCAGAGTGGGTTGAAGCTGTAAAACATGAATGAGAAATAAAAAAGTCTGATTTTACATTTTCATAAGAGCCCTGACTGTGGTTGTTTGCTTCAGTTCAATAACAATAAATCAGCCAAAAAGCTTCCCAGCATCTTTACTGTTTTTAGTTATGTGTTGTACACGTCATGGATAACTGAACAAGCTGTGACTGAGGGGATTCATTTTTCTCTTTCCTCTTAGTATTTCAGAACTACCCACTTCACAAACTGCGGTGTCACCGCAGCCTGCAGGAGGACGACTTTCTGGAACTGCTGAGGTCCACCTTCCCTCAGCTGGCTGCTAACGTACCTTTTGACATCCTCACGGTTGACAAAAACAGGAAACTGCAACCTCTGAATGTGGAGTCACTGACTCCAGAGCAGGTCTACAAGGCCATTGATTCATCAAGGATCAATACCCTCTTCATTCGACTGAAGGTACTGTGACTTACTACATTTTAAAATACTCCTACTCGACATTATCCGGAAACCTTTAAAGAAACTACACAAACAACATGTACAGCAAGTACAACATTGCTCTCTGGTACAAACGTGAAACTAAATGTGGATGCCCTTATCATGCATCGAAGACTGTTTTCTGCTGAAGCAAAGACATTTTGTGATTTTTTTTTTCTCCTCTTTTTTTAAAAATTTCTTTTCTTTTTATTTTTTTAATACGAAACTCTTTCAGGCACCAGAGAAAGTCCAGGTTGGTGCGAGGAAGCTTGAACACCTGCAGAAAAAAGTGGACACAGCTACAGAGTCGTCATTTTTACCTGAACAAACTGTGATGCATGGGAGGTGAGTCGGTCAAACTATCAGTCTTAGCCGTTCAATAGAAATCTATAAAGAGACAGGAACATACGTGTGATGATGCTTGAACCTTCAAACTCGCATGTGGTCGTGAGTGTTAGGTAGTAACTGAAGAAACAAGACTGTCACTGAAAGCTGCTGCACTTCACGGCACCAGCATACTGCCAGGTTGGTCGCTGCAAGTGCCGCCAGTGATGTCGTCACCCAGCCCAATCCATTTATGCTCACTGTTACGGCACAGGAGGCGGCTGTTTTGTTTTGGTGTCCTCACTCAGATAATGTCAGCACTGTGTTGCAGGATCTCGCTCTGTATAATCTGTGACTTTGAGCTTCACTATTGATTTATCATTAAAACAAAAGTAAAAACCAACATTTCAACCCTGGAGCGGCAGCAGTACAGCTAGACCTAGTGACAGCAGCTGGTATATCAATTTGATGTCAGCTTTGTCATAATTTTACATAAATTCCTTAGGGATTAATAACATATCCTGAT